AATCAATGACGAAAAATGTGCAAGCATAACCTTTGGTAACGCTCCTGGTCAACCTTTCTGTGCAGCGATACAGTTCTCTATCGTGCGACATTCAGCTGTATTCAGTGCTGTGAATTGGTCTTTAACAATCTTATCTCATACAATGATGTACATATGAAACGGATGGGTGTGGCAATCATCTCTATATTAGCTGCCGAAATTTCCACTGCAGGTCTGTTCGATTTAGCCAAAGAGCGTCGTCGCATTCAATGTCTACTGATGTATGTTCCTGAAAAGTGTCTGTTGGATTCGGATCTTCGAGCTATGGGTCTTCATATGCTCAGCTATCTATCCCCACTTCAATGCCGCTTTGAGGGTGCTCCGATTTTCAACACCACACTTCGATTTACTCTGTCTGCGCTATGGAACCTGACGAACGAGTGCCCGGAAGCATGTCTGGGCTTTGTGGAAGAAGGCGGCTTGCGTATCTATGAACGCGTGCTTAAACGTTTTGCTGATCAAGAAGAAGAAATGAAAAATCACGTGTACGCGAAATGTCTCGGTTTGTTGAATAATGTGGCCGAAGTGGATCAGACGCATGAGACATTGCTGGTGGACAGCCTCATGGTTTTTTCTTTAAAATGTTGCGTCATCCGAGCATTCACATAAGCTATTTCGCTACCGGCATCATCGCTCATTTGTCGTGCTTGCAAGACGAAATATGGATGACCACTCTTCATTTAACCAAAGATAGCTAGATCAAGCTCTTGGGTCAGTCGGTTTGTAGTTGGCAACCACCGAAATCTGAAATGGTTGCCTACCGATCATTTGAACCGTTTGAACAACTTTTGATGCATCCACAGAGTCGTTTGGATGTGCATCTATGGGCTGTTTGGGCTATTCATCATATTCTGACCCGCAAAGAGGTGCGCTATGTACCAGCCCTGTGTGATTGTCGCCGTTTATTGGATTTCCTCCGGTGTGTGGTGTCGGTTGGCGAGACTGTTTTGTGCGCGAATAGTGTCCCTCGCCTGTCTTGCCACTCCAGACCAGATAACTCGACGGACGAGCCCATGATTACTGATGAAAAAACTGGTACTTCTAGTTTCCCTGGTCATCACTCTTCTTCCGCTGAATCGCCCATTTGGCAAGACGCAATCGACACTGCTAGCTGCCTGGATCCACCGTCTGCTGGAACTCATTTGAATCCTGGTTGTGCAGGGGACAGCCTAAGTGGAGCAGTAGTAGAATCAGACTATATACCCCGGCGATTGTCAAGTGCAAGTGTTAGTGGAAATTCAGCCACCGGTCCTGGTGCACTAGATCATGTGGAACCGGTCGGACAGACAGCTGCCGGACTTTCCACTTCCGCTGGTCCAGATAGTTGTCAATTGGAATGTGCACGTCTGATACGCACTTTGGCCGCAGAAATAGAGTATGCGGTAGACCGTTACTTGTTGACGTCAGTTGGGGCTTGAAAAGCGATTCGGTTTCGGTCACCGTCATCAGTTCGATCACGCACATGAAGACATTTGCATGCAACACAAACGGAACCCGAAATTGCTTTAGCCAGTATCCCAAAATGAAATGGGACTTGTTGCGTAACGTTCATTTTGACAATTTTTTGAAGTAGGATCAGATCAAGTGATCGAACATTGTGTTTTGCCCAGTCAATCCTGGAGAATTATCGTCATCGAAATCATCATGGTGGTTGTAGTACTTTAGTGACACGCTTTCAAAGCGAATCGCATTCTGGGCGTTTACAAGCTGCTACACTCGCGACCCACCTCGCCCTGTGGTTCCCCATCCCGGTGCAAGAGTGAGTGCCTAATGGCGTGGTCGATGAGGTTCCTGCATCTTTATGGTGTTGTTTTGGACCTCCTTTCCGTTATTCCCATTTGCCATCTGCTCTTATCCGGCGATGGTGTGGGCGGAACTGTCTTCTCTCTCGACTCACTCACATGGTTCTGGTCCTCTGTATCACACGTGATCGACCCCATTGCATCTAACCTCGTTGTCGGACAACAGCATTATCCAAGTAACGCGGCATTTCTCCTCTTTGTGTTCGTTTCTATACCTATCTGATCCTTTTTCGTTCCTTTAATCCCCCTCCCTGGTGGGTGATTTTGCTGCAGTAACCGACCATTCAGCTCACTCTTCAGTATTCGTATATGCGTTGGCCATCGGGTGCGCAGATTATTTTCATTCATCAATCCGTTCATTCCTTTATGAGCACATTCATTTACTCCCTTCCCACTGATTGGGTGGTCTTTTATTCCTCCGTCTTCACATTTCGTATACCATATGCAGTATTCATTTCTGTATATGGTTCACCATTCTACTCCAGTGTTCATTGTCCCACCAGTTACTTCTAAACGGTTCTATCTGTAACAACTAAGCGGTCATACACATCTTTGGGATTTCGGTTACCAATTTGATTGAGGAATATCAACTTTTCTTCAAGACTCACCTCTTGCTTAATCATTCCCCGGTTCCTATCCCTCGCACCGTTGATCTTGGCGTGAGCTCTCCTCCAGTCACTTCTCCGTCGCTTCCTGACATTTGAACGAATCACACATAGCTTTTGATGCATCACAAACTGTCAACCAGATCAAAAACGAACACTTCCGGTCCGTCAGTTGCGTTACAGCTGTTGTTTGGACTCTGATTTCTCCACTTATTCTACAAAACCGCTTTCTTCGTTACATAATTCAGCAACACGGTCTTTCGTTACCCTTTCTACTATTTCAATTTTGGGTTCGTTTTTCGTCGCTCAACCTATCGGGCATGCCATCGATGTGTGCACGATGTCAACACGAATTCATGCGTTTCCCCCCTCTTCCTCGCATGGTGTGCTTTGTGTGATTGCTTCGTTCTCGTCTGATTCCTCATCAGTGTCCTAGCTACTCTGATTTGGTTTATTCTAGTCACCTTGCCTATCGCATGTTATTCTGTTATCGTCTTTTGATGTTGTATCGCACTGTTACTCTTCGGCAGAGTAGCACTAAGCCCAGATGATTGTTTCATGTTACACCATCCGACGGCATTGGTGGTTTTCGCCCATTTCCTTATTGTGATGATTCACGCGCTACGTGTTTTTGTCATCACCTGTCCTGTGCTGCGTACCTGTCCGGTCCCTTATAGGTATGCTAAAACACACGATCATTGCTAAACGGTTCAACTCGTATCCAACTGGTGGATCAGCACAAAATTCTTGGTTTCTGGCTGAATAGCAACCTCTTCTTTTCTTCCCATAACCAAAAAGCCAGTAAAACCGCTTTTCGTATTCTTAACCTTATCAAACGATCTTTCCCGCGTATAACCAAAGAGGACTTCCCTTTACTCTATGGAACATATATACGCCCACTGTTAGAATACGGTAGCCAGATTGCATATTCTGGCCTTATTCGCGACGGCGACTCACTAAAGCGTGTGCAGCGAAAGGCCACAAAACTAGTACATGGCTTGTCAGAAATCCCTTATCCTATCCAACTACAACAGCTAAATCTATACCCTCTAGATATGCGACGTATCAGAGGGGATCTTTTCCTTCTATATGACCTCTTCACGTCAAGTCAAGTTGACCGTTTCTTCACACGCTCAAGCCTGGAACACTTAAGGGGACACGCAAGAGAACTCTTCAAACACCAGCCCAGAACCTTAATCCGCTCCAACTTCTTCACGTACAGGGTCATCTCAGAATGGAACCAACTTCCACTAGAGATTGTGAACTCCTCCTCCAAAAGGGTCTTCAAAACCCTGCTAGACTCACACCTAGGGCTTACCATCCCCTGATCTAATTGGCCTCCATCTTTTGAAGGAAACCCCCACTTTATCTCGCTTATGCTTGTTCCTACTCTTCTCACATCCTCGCTCTCCTCTAGATTATTTTTTTGGATGCAGGCGCCCTTAACCCAGCGGCACCATATTGGAGCCAGCTTCCATTTCCGTCAACGTCCCTTTCAGCTCGTAAACCGAACTACAGAAAAGAAGCCAGATCCGGAACCGGGAATATTGGGCCCAAGCCTCGAACCCGAGTACTACTTCAAGACTTCAAGACATCAACATTCTGCCCCTGGGAAACTACTATTGACTTCAAGTGTTGGAAGCAAACAAAATCGCCGATAGCACAAGGAACTGGAGGAGCGATTCGCAAGTGCCAGAATTCGTCCTGTAAGCACTAGCATTGTCCGACGCAGGCATATCTACGTGTAACCGCGGTAAAGTGGAAACCCTATTGAATTTCCTTAAGAGCGTGTATAGGACCCCAACTTATGTGGATTATCCGGGTTTGACAAGATTAGCTGATTCGCCAGAGTTATCCTAAATTGTCATCTGTGAATCAGATGGACTGCGGGAACTCTAGATGCTCAACAAGCATAAGTCTGCAGGTCCAGATGGAATACGTCCAACCATAGTGCAGCCACCGGCCAGTGTGCTAGCCGTACTGTACGTTTTAGTGAATCAGTGCAAACTGTCACGCTACCCCAGGACTGGCGTACAGCTACCTATTACCATTGCACAAGGCTGGACCGAAACACAAAGCAGAAAATTATAGACCCGTTAGCCTAACGTCATTGCTGTGCAAGTGACTGGAGCGGCTGATCAGAAGGCAGATTTGCCTACATCTGGCTAGCAATCGACTCCTGACA